TTTAGTCCTTCAACTCCATTTTCTTTATTTCTAGACCTTTTTCCCAATTTCCTTGTTCCAATGCATAAGTTATGTGCTCAATCTGATCTTGTAATCTTCATGTCTTCAATTTCTTCTCCGCTTCATCTTTGCAACTTGGTCCCCACACTTCGATATTCTTCATTTTGGCCATTTTTCTCCATATTTCTTCCACTTTCCACCACATTCATCACTATTGACCTGAAAACATAATTTACAATGAATTAAGCTATGTTTCACGAATAAATCGACAAATATCCATGTTTATGAGTCGATATAGACGTGTAAAATACACTCTTATCAGAAGGCTTGTTGGTAGTGTTAGGTTTAATTTCTATTGCATATTTTCAATTAATCTTGAATAACATGGATGGAGGTATGCATTCAATTTTCTTACGTGGAATCCAGCACTTTCATTCTTAATGTCAAGAAAGGAGTTGTAGATGGACTCATCATCTTGAGTTCCATGGGTAAATACAATTCATTTGACAGGAAACAAAGGCGTAACTTCCAATTTCAATCTCTGCACACGTTCCCTAAAACTCTCATTAGCAGCTACAGAAAAGATGCATACCACATAACAAGAATATAATGGTAGCCCTAGCACTCAAAATCAACAAGGGCAATATAAGGGAAACCATAAAAAATATGGAATCCCTTACAAAGAGATTTTTATCAGACTGAATAGGCTAATTTGATAAGGGAAACAGTTCCAACAACGACGCAAGTAACACACGGTGCCCTTCCCAACACATTATTGAGTCCCACGTCCCTGCACCAGTCTCCACAAAGGCAGCAATTCTGGCAAACACAGTGAAAAGCAAATGAAATAGAGAAATCAGAGGAGCAAATATGAGGAAATGAATGTATTAACAAACTTTAAAGAATGTTATTTAGCACCATCAATGTTACAACATCAGTTTATGTAACATGAAGTGTCATTGAAAGGTATGATTAAATGAATCATATAATTTCATATTTAATTAAATATGTCGCATAGATTGATACTCTAGTACAACTAGTGTTAGATAATATTATTCAACATTAAAATGTCGAACCTTTCACCTTAGTTGTGGCAATGGGCTGAGCCGGCTGCTTGAGCTCGGCTCGTCTAGCAACTCGTGGCTCGTTTTTTCACGAGCCGAGCAGCCAAGTCGACGAGCCTCTCGGATCGATTGATATGTCAACTTATTTTTAATATATTGCTATAATATCGATAGGTAAACCATTGATTAAAACCAAACCAAACCGCAAATAATGATTTGGTTTGGTTTGGAAAAATTTCAAATCTTACGAAATGGTTTGAGTTGAAAAAATAACACAAACCGTCCAAATCAAATCACGTTCATCCCTAAATGGGATAAGACCATATTAAATAATCGTCCCCACCTCTTTAGAGTTTTTGAGGAGGGGGGGATGGAATGAGAATAATTTTATTTTTCACATTTAGCTCCACCTTTAATTAGGTAATCATTTTTTAACTGTATTGTTTATTTTTTAAAATATAATTTAATTGAAAAATATAAAAATTAAATTAAATGATTCGAATTCGAGAAGGGACAATGTGAGTTTGCCTATCCCTAATCTTAATGAACGGATGATGTCCCTTTTTAATAGAACGAGCACGCTCATGTTCAGTTGGATGACCAGTAAATCTTTCAATGTTTTTATTTCTTAGTTATTTTTCTAAAAATGACAAGAAATAAAAAAATTAAAAAAGGTTATAAAAGAGTATACGTAGAGAGTCAAACTCGACACAATTTAATTCTCTCCTTCACTTGTCTTGCATCATCGACAATTAGGACGAAATAGACTTTTAGAAGTATCATATCATGTTCATTTTTATTTTACATTTATTAACAAAATTGTTTCGTGAAAAGAAACTATTACATGTCTTCTTTGCTTAATAATCAACTTATTTTTAATATATTACTATTATAGGCGCTATCAATTAGGACGGCTTGTTCGGTCTACTTGCCTATGAAAAGAGAGAGTGGTGGATGAAAGGATGAAGAATTTCAAATTAATATTTCTCTGTACAATTGTAATAGTCCAACATTATATTACTATTATTAAGTTCAAATTCATAAAAATCAATAAAAAAAATAAAAAAACACACACACACACACACACACATTATTTTTGGCATTTAAAATTGTGAAATTATGTTTTTAGGTTGAAATAGTTAAAATTAGGTATAGGAGTTTTAGCACCATTTATGTGTTAGTGGAAATCATAATCGTTATATCTATTTATGGGATATGAAGAATAAATTATATAGTATTTTTATGTTTTTGGAGGTTGTGTTTCTTGAAAATACAATTTGGAGATCAAGATAATTGTATAAGATTTTTGTTTAGGAAATGAAAATTTGAGGTTTTTTTTTTGGACTGTAATTGCATTTTAATATTTATAATTTAATTAGCAAAGGATTAGTTTATTTCTTCTTTCTGAAATCTGTTTGTGGGTGTAAGAAGATAAGTCAAATTTTGCAATGGCTTTTAGAGTTTAGACAACTAATTAATAGACGTGACAATGAATATGGCATCTCACAAATACACTGTGCCTTATTTTTCTAATTACATCATTATCAATAAAGATGTGGCAGACAACAATCAAGCATTTTGTTTTATTGTTCTTATTTATTTACAAATTCTTTATCGTTATTTTAATCACTAAGTGGATATTTGATGTGATAATGAGTACGTCGCACCAATCAACATTTTGCTGAGTAATTAAAGTTTTGCATACTTGATTTTTATGATTGACTTAAACATGGTCTGAAGGGTTCAGGAGAATGTGCCTAACATTTTTTGTAATAAATAAATTTTGAAACCTATTTGCAGTCGCTCACTATCTTAGTAACCTTACGCTACATACATGTGTTAGTTAAAGATTTAATTCATAAAAAACTAACACATTAATGCATCAAATCACTAACCGTCATATATATACTACTTAAAACGACTACGATAGTAAGTTAATGTACATATCATTAATCTCCTAAAAAAGTTCCAAGACCAAGTTTTTAGTTATCAAACAAATTGTATGATGGTTCAATTTGATAGTTTTGTTCACTAGTTATTCCTTTAAAAGAAAAATCATTTTGGTTTTTTAAAGATTAGTTTCAAACCACTATTGACTTAGCTCAGGTTTGATTCGAACATAAATTTTTTGAATAAATTTAATAGAAATTGAAATATTTTTTTAAAAAGTTAATAAAAGTTATCAATCTTAAAAAATTATGTAGTTAATATGAATTTGAGGAAAAATAAATTTTAAGAAAAGGGACTAAATACTTTTTTTTTTGTTAAAAATAAATTGCTCTCACATGAATTGATCCTTTATATTCCAACAACCAACAACTCTTTGCTTCAGTATTTACTTTCACATTTGGCTTCATTTTCACTATCTCCACTACGAAATGGCAGCAGATTTCTCAACATCAGTTCAACTCGGTCTCAACCTCTCAAAGCGGATATACTACGGAAAAAATGCGGCAGAGTCCTCGCCGCCGCGTCCGGTGTTGGCGGAGAGGGAGACTGATCCTGTGGAGAGTTATCTTCCGACGGCGGTGATGGTTTATGCGGAAATAACGGAGCCTTCGATGGTGGACAATCCGTACATTCCGAGCTACCAGCCTTACGTGCACGGGCGGTGTGATCCGCCGGCCTTGATTCCGTTGCATATGCACGGAGTGACAATGGAGTTGGACTGTTATTTGGATACTGCATTTGTTACTGTTAGTGGTGCGTGGCTTGTACACTGTGTTTCTGCGAGTGAAAGCTGCGACTGCCGCATTGCTGTACCAATGGGCGAAGAGGTCAGCACTAAGCTGTTTTTTTATTTATGAATTTACAAAAATGGTCAATTCCATGTTTGTCAATTGAAAAGTGTCTAATTTTGATAATTCTAGCAAAAATAGCCAAATCTGGTACCAAATTGTCTATTATACCTCAATGAAAACTGAAGCAAATTTTTTTTTTTTTGAATTTGTCATGAATTTTGAGAAAAATGAGAAGCTACATTGATGCTAGTTAATACCTAATTGGTTCATTTGCTTTTATTATCTACTAGGTATTGACTAAGAATTTTAGAAAAAAATGAAGAAGATGAATTAGAAAAATCATTAACACTAAAAAAAATAATTATATGCTTCCAATTCTTAAGAAAATCATATAACTTCATTTCGAAAAATTTAATCTCATCCAAATTTGCGGTTGATTAGGCTTTTCACAATTCTCTGTAGAAGGTAATTTTTATTTGAAATTTTGTTTTTGTTGATAAGTTGTATTTAATAGTTGGTATTCTTGACATTTTATAACGTTCTTGACATTTTAAAAGTCGCTATCGACATTTGGATCACGTTTATCTTGACATTTGACACTTCATTTGTTTAGAGCGAAATTTCGTTCTGAACATGAGAGTTCTCTACATTTTATAATGTTTTTGACATTTTAAATGTACTTCTCAACATTTTAAAAATGTNTGGATATTGAAGAAATTTTGGACATATTTGCAAATGACTATGTAAAAGTGGATATTTTTTGCAATTTCCTCTATCAAATTGCCATTTTGGTTGTTTCTCATTTTTAGTGTGCTTCTTTAATTGATGGGCATGATTCACAAATTACTTTTCAAGAAAAGTTAACACACAAGTAATTATTTTTTCTTAAGTGAATATGTACATGGCTGGTTTTGCATAGAGGCGAGCCTTGGGCACAACATTGGAGGGGCCCTTAGATTTTGGCCTATTTCATTCTTCCCTTTTTTTCGTCGATAAAACGTTTGGAGCATTGTCAACTTTGTTACTTGATTATAATATAAATATTTTGTGTAATACATTTTATTTGTTATTTTATTGTAAAGTATTTAAATTAAGAAGTTAAATTTTGAATCCATAGCACACTTATAGCTTTTGCATGCATACTACAATTTTGGGGCCTAATTTATGAAATTTGCGTCAGGCCCCGAAAATCACGGAACTGGCACTGAATATGTAACTGATTTTTTTGAGAATTATGAAATTAGTCTTTCAGGAAAAAATCTTCTTTTCATTGGAATTGCGTATGATTGGTATACACTCTTTTCTTGTTCGACTGTTAATGAATTGCAGTGCCGCGTTTATAATTGCTTTGTGAGTGTGGATTAATCCTGAATGATGTATTGTTGAAGCAAGGAGAGCTGGAGAATTTTCTCTTTTAAAATTCTGTTGCTGTATTGCACTTGGTTTACTTATTCACGATTTTGTCAGAAATGATCTTTTTGTTTTTAATTATTTTTTCACACGTCAAGCAAATACTTGTAAAAAGAGTGTAAAACCGCTTATTTCTATATACAATTCAAATATAACCTCCCTTATAGTGTCCTAACAAGCATTTATTCATCTTATGATGTCTTAGTCTAGACCATTGATGTTCTATCCTTAGAATCATCAGTTTGAGATGTCTGTTGGGATGAGTAGTAGAGAACTAAGTGCAACCTTGACCTAGATTATTCGTATTAGGACCTTCCATAAGGTGATGCCAAACAGTAGTTAAGTGCTTATATACACGATGTTTTGTGTTTTTATGTATACCACTTCAGATATTTGTATTGGTAGTAGTGTGATTGATCAATTTTCAAAATACAGCTCCTGCTTCCGTTCGACCCCAACCCAAGGTAACACGTTGTAATATCTTGCATTAGTGCTATTTCTCTTCCTTCTAAAATTATATGGTTGAAACTTTTGTAATTCACTTTATTATTGAATGCATGAGTTGTATAATTAATTTATGGGAGAAGCTATCTTTATGAAAAAAACATAATTGTGGTGGTTTTATTCGGGGATTTTCTACATTGTTCTAACAAAATTATATGACAATTGAACCGGCAGTATAATTTCTTGTTAACTTTTGATACTTATCATTTTTATTTAGCGTTATTTGGCTTACAGGGTTCAGTTCTAGGGGTAGAAGTTGAAACCCCTTTTAAGTCATATTGTACCCAATTTATTTCCTTGGAAGATACCAAAGATGCAGAGAATTTCGCCAATGCAAAAGATGGGTTCCTGATAAAAGGCCAGACATACACATTAAAGATTCCCCGGGTTACTATCTATTTAATATGTACTTTTCTAGTTATTTTTTCCATGCTCTTTTTCTGTTGGCTGTCCTTTCAACTGATAGTGTATTATCGCATTTTTGGTTTTTTCAAGGTCGATGGCGGATCTATCCTTTCGCTCAAAATTAGTTGGTCCCAAAAATTGTTGCATCAAGATGGTCAATATTGCCTCAATGTGCCATTCACTTTTCCATCATATGTCCTTCCTGTTGGGAAGAAAGTGTCTGGAAAGGAGAAAATCTTATTGAATGTGAATTCCGGTACTGGAACAGAAGTCTTGTGCAAAAGTTCTAGTCATCCTCTGAAGGCACGTCAACTTAATTATTAGTAGTTCATGAGAAGTATTACTAGGAATTTTTACATGTCCATTGCAATTTTCTCTTCTTAAATAACAGGAGATAAGACGCCTGGCGGGGGAAGTAGGATTTTCTTATGAGAGAGAAGTTCTGACATGGTCCATGTCTGACTTCAATTTTTCATACACTGTATGATCTTTAACCTTCGTTTTATTATTTTTATTTTTATTTTTATTTTATTCATATGTGCCCATTCTCTGCTTACCTACTGACTCAAAACAGGTCATCCAGTGTGGGTGATCATATTATGATCATTAAATATGATTACACTTGTTTCAAAAGGAAATTGTTTTATTGTATAGTCGTAAGAATATAGTATAAGAGTGACTTGATTCTGTATTTCCTCATCAGGTTTCTTCAAGTGATATATGTGGTGGTGTGCTCTTGCGGTCCCCATCTCTTCATGATAATGATCAAAGAGAGATGTTTTGCTTTTATCTTTACCCAGGGAATAGCATCCATAAGAAGGTTTGTTACCCTTGGCCTAATCTACACAATTGACAGTTACAAACCCTCAAGTGTAAATCTGTACTTTTTAGATGGATATGTTGATTCATAAATTATAAATTTGTGTAATCACTTGGTTTAGTGTTTTGTTTTATTCTGTTGTGTTATTAGTGTTTTGTTCCAAATTTTATTCTAGTTGGGAAAAAAGATCAATTCAGACGTACAGAGATCTTGTGTCTGGATGTCTCACTATTGAAATTAAAAACTATGCTTGAAACAAATTTTTTCTTTAACAGTTTCTTAATATATTTTGGAATCTCAATCGATGTTTAACACCCTTACTAAGCATACTCTCAATCGAAGTTTGGAATTTTAGATGATGTATTATTCCAGATTATTTTTGGTGGCACTGACATGCCTATCCTTCTTTACGGTGTTATTTTTGCAGATTTTCAAGAAGGAAGTGGTATTTTTGGTTGATAGAAGTGCAAGCATGCAGGGAGGTCCCCTCGAGAATGCAAAAACTGCACTCTTGGCTGCCCTATCAAAGCTTAGTCCACTAGATACTTTCAACATTATAACTTTTAATGGAAGTTCTTCAATATTTTCTTCGTCCATGGAGCTAGCGACAAAGGAAGCCATCGACAATGCTTATGAATGGATTAATATTAATTTTGTAGCAGAGGGTGGCACAAACATATCAACTCCCTTGGATCAGGTACAAATACTCACTGTCTCAGTATCGTGAACATGATCCGTGATCCATGAAATTCTTTAAGTTTGTGTGTTTTGCTCATTTCCATCATCTTTCTTTATTATTCACAGTTATAAGCCATACACTGTCTAGTTGCATTTTTTGATCTATTTTGTTTTAGTTGTTGGAGATCTAGCAGTGAATGTTATTACTAACTTGTCAGTTTGATAAGCTTTGGTATGATTAAAAGGATCTGGAGTGTTTACTCTGCATTCACTTCTCCCGATTGACTATCCTGATGCGGAGGGGCCGGAACCCGCTTCTTCCAGAACCAAGAGTTCTAGTTTTCCTAAACCAACGAGTTGTAGTCTAGTCATCCTTTATCATGATCTAAATCTTTCTTTAGCAAGTAATAGGCTAAACATGACAAAATGCACATGTTTAAATGTCACATGATGGATGTTTCATTCTACACTTTTTATTCTCTGTAACATTAGAATTTTGGATATTTACTTAGGCAATCAGGTTGGTGTCTAAAACTGGTGCTGTACTTCCCATCATTTTTCTCGTTACTGATGGAACCGTAGAAGATGAAAAGAACATTTGTCATTCCATGAAAAGTCACCTCATGAAGGAAGGCTTGACTAGTCCACGGATTGGCACGTTTGGCATAGGTGAGACTTTTTCGTTCTGTTTGAAAACCAATCTATGGTTCTGTGAAGTATAATTTCTACAAACCTTGTTTCTAACCATTAGGTTTGTGACAAATTATTCTTTTCTATACCCCTATTTATAATGATGGATTGCGCTAAATTTTGAGCTGGTAGTCCCTTCTCACTACCTCTCCCACATAATTTTTGGTCTCATACTGGATCCTGCATAAATTTATAACAAGTTTTATGGGCACTATATCCATCTGCCCATCTGCCTTTCCTTCATTGACATTGTAAGCCTTTTTTTTCCCAGGTTCATATTGCAATCATTACTTCTTGAAAATGCTTGCAGAAATTGGGAGGGGTTACTATGATGCTGCATTTGATATAGGTTGGTTCTTTGCCCATCATGTTAAGTATTTTTCTTTTCTTCTCTTCTCCATAATTGAACTGCTATTGTTAGTCTGTTTGAAGCCAATTCTGGTTACATTGTGACAACAAATGAACTACTAAAATGGGAGTTCACTTCCCAAATCAGAACCTTGAGATAATATGATGATAGCTTGCTATAAATCCTTTTTTCTCCAACCCAAATTGTAGATATAGGACTTTTTAGTTGGAATAAGGTATGAAATAGTGGTGAATAAGAATATGAATCAAATTTCCAATATGACAGGACTGTGAACTGACATTGTTGATAGGAATCACTACATAAGTTTTCAAAAGTGACAGTTTGTCTTTCTAGAGAAGAAGAAACGAAATATGAGGAATTTGCTCATGTAAACTGGTAGGACTACTGTCGTAAAACGGAGATGCTTTCATTAAAATAAAATGACAAACAAAAAGTAGCTAGCGATTTTATAAGAGTATCACTATCAATTCATTTTTACTCATGGGAAATAATTTTATCTGCCTTATTCTTTTTAAGGTGTCCCTTTTCTTGATTGGTGATTTTGGAGCTAAGCTTTACATATCCATCCTCCACAGTATAAAGTTCATTCACTTGAATTGAAAGCTCTGCTTCATCAATTTGAACGAGGAGCATTCCCCTCTGTTCCAATTCATAGAATAAAATCTTATATGAATGAACTCCGGATCCACCCATGTACTAAGAGCTTTAACTTTCTGTCTATTTTTGTTGTCAATGCTCACTTGGTCCAGATTCGATCAATTTGCGGATGGAAAGATTTATTGACAATGCATCATCAGTCATCCTTTCAGATATAACTATTGATGCTTTGGAACATCTTGATTCACTTGAGGTATGCTAAACCTGATCAATAATCTACAACCCCCAACACACCCCAGAACACCCCCAAAAAGAAAAAGAATAAATAAAAATAAATTAAATAAATAAAAGCGTGCATACTTGTACAGGTGTTGCTGTGTATCTAAACTATGGTAATGGACTATTTTCTCGTTCATGTGCATTGTCGAGGAAGTTAATGTCATTTGGAAAAAAATAAATAAAATAAAAGTTGTTTTATTGCATTTATTTTATTTGCTTTTCATTCCTATCTATGTCATTTTTTATGAATGCTCTTCGTTGCAGTTATATTCACTTCATCTTCCAGACCTGCGATCTGGAAGTCCTCTATATGTGTCTGGAAGATACTGCGGGAACTTTCCGGACTCTGTTAGAGTCAGTGGTACCTTGGCAGATTTGAGCAATCTTGTGATAAATGCTATAGTACAAAAAGCAAAAGATGTCCCTATTGACAAAGTAATGTTCCCATTTGTGAGAGTTGTGATTTAAACATTCAACTATGTTATCAAATTCCATTAATGTATTTCTGATTTCATGTTGTTTTGCCTTTTATTTTGTGGACGTATCGTTTCTTTTATTTTGATTTGATGATTTAATAAACTATCAAATGCTGTCTACTTCATTGAAACTTTTACAAGTTGACAAATGCTCCATACACACGTTTAGAACTTTTGATTTTTAGTTATTGTTTGTATTTTGATGGTGATGAAAATTCAAACTTGAAAAAAATGTCTAATATTTCCCTTAGATGCCAGCAGGTATTTGCAAGAAGACAAATTGATGCACTTACAGCTCATGCATGGTTGTCAGGAAGCAAACAACTAGAAGAGAAGGTGTGTCCATGCATGCTCAATTTTAATGAGAATTGTACGACAAAGAAACAAATGGGTATTGTTTGATATCTGAATGGGGTACTAATTGACAGTTGATTCCATTTCATGGCAGCATGTTATGTATTACTTTTTTTTCTGCTTCAGCATCATAGCAATTTTTTTGCATGTTTTGCCATAATCTTCGTGGAGATGAATTACATAACTGGGACGGAACTATTATTTTCTAGAAGAGTCTTTACATATGTCGTGATAACTTGAATCATGATGACCTATTATTGTTAGGCTGCAAAAATGAGCATACATTCAGCTGTGTGTTCGGAGTATACCAACATGATTTTAATTGAGACGGATAAAAGGAAGCAGCAATCCAAATCAAATACAGCGGAAGAGGTATGGTCTTGCACAAGTATTTTTAAGATCATAAGATTCTTTTCTAAATAGTCTCTTTCAATTAGAAAGATGTTTTATGAAATTTGATGAAACACGAAATGGATTTGCAGAAAACGGGTGATTCCAAAGGGCAGAAGATCATTGTCCTGCGAAATATAGGTACTGGCTTTGGTAATTTGGAGGCCACTGCTAAGAATCTTCCACCAGAAAAAGCAGAGCCCAATTTATATGAAACTTCAACAATGCTTTTCAAGACCGCTTCAAATGTTGGTCGCAGAGTGGCAGATCGGTGTTGCTGCATGTGTTTTCTTCAATTTTGCAATAGGCTTAATGACCAGTGTGCAATTGCTTTAACACAGCTGTGCACAGCTCTTGCATGTTTCGGATGCCTGAAAGTTTGTTGTGAAGTCTGCGATCTCTGTTCTTGTGATCAATGCTAACAAGAAGAGAATTAAATAGCGCAGTACTGGACAGAAGAACAAGAAACTCAAACTTTGTATATTGTATTGCCCTCCAAGCATTGTATTATGTATGTACACAAACAAACACTACTTTACCTATGGAATTAAGCTCGATTCTTTAAAACATATTTCTAACTACACGTCTTTAAATAAATCCATAATTTATCCTTATTTTTTTACTCACGTAAATATCAATTTTTCACAAAAAAATCACATCGAAGAGGCCCTAAACATAATAATCTTTTGTATATTTCTAAAATGAATTGGCTTGGGCAGAAGTGGATTGTCATGAATCTCGTGATATCTTTTAGTTGATAGCTATACCCATACTATGGCCTTTTGTCTCTTAAATCAAAGTTGAATAAGCAATAATTTAAACTTTATTATTAACCCCCGTGAGTCAAAGTTCACAATTAATTTTAATAATATATTTTATGAGATCCACAATTTTTAAATTATATATTTTATAAATATCTATCAAAATTTATCAAAAATCTAATTTTAATTCCATTAAACAAGACTTAATTAATTTAAACGATGCAGTTATTAAAAGATTCAATGCAATTTCCTTGTTATAAAATTTGTACCGCTGTTTTTGAACAGAAATGACATTTATTCTCTTGTTTGATCTCCATTATTTTTAAAAAATATTTTTTCCTCATAAATCATACATTCTTCAGTAAAATAATATTACATTTAAATTCAAAATTTTTCTTTATTTTTTAACAACATATTTTTCATCAGTCTACTAGTTCAGAATGCATTCTACATAAAAAGTAGGGCTTAATTCCACTAAATTAAATACATTGAATGCAAAAGCAATAACAATAAATAATTAAAAATTGTATAGTTATCTATCTGTTAATTAAAAAAAATTACAAACGACTTTTCTATTTTAAATAAAAAAGTAGTTATTGTAGCAACCTTAGATTAGGGCACAGCCGAGAGTTCGAAAATATGTTTTCGTGCCTTTTTCACTGTGCATGTTACTTTTAGCCAGCTGGCCATTTTTTTGAAAAAAATATTGTTTTCAATAGTAATTTTTTGGAGAATGTATGATTAAAGAGCAGAAAATATTTTAAATTTACGTGAATAATATTTTATTGCCTAATTGTGATTGAAAATAATGGAAAAATATTTACAAAATGTAAAAGAATGCGTTAATTCCAATTTTTTTATTTAAGTTTCATATTTGATTGTTTGATGTTTTTAATGGCACTGCAATTCATTCCGTTGGGGACATTCTTGCTTCTGGTCCTTTTGGCATCCACTCTCTGTCTTCCTCAAAGGTGAGCAGAATTAATACATGTAGATCTTGTTCAGGTCTTTGTGATTTTTCTCTAGTTTAGTAGTTTTAATTAACTGTAATCTTGTTTTGAATTTATTAGTTGCTTAGTCAATTATTGGTAAAATTGAATATGTAGATCTGCTCTTGGATTTATTCTTTTTACACGAGTTGGATTGGGGATTAATCCCGTCCATCAGGCTTAGGGCATAGGAAAATGGCTACAGTATATTCTTTTTTGACTTCTACCATGTACCAAACTTCTTTTCTAGCGTCTTATTTTTATTTTTTGGGGATTAATTATTTTTGACAAGTAATACTTATGATCATTGACGTTCTACTCGTTGATTTTCTATTTTTCCGAAATTCAGATTTTAAACTCTTCCTGTCCAATTGTTCTTTGAGGTCATTATATTGGCTCACATATGATTGCTTTATCCTAAACGTTTAAGGCCTGTTTTCCTTTATTGTTTTCAAACCGTTTTCTGTTTTCGATTTTTCAAAATAGTGAAAACGTGTTCTCTTTCCTATTTTCGAAAACGCGTTTTTGAAAACAAATTTAAAATTTACAAAGAAAACCCATTGGTGTTTTCAGTTATAATTTGACCAAAATTTTCAAAACGCGTTTCCATTGTTTTCAGTTACTATTACCCCCTCGACCACCACCATTGCCGCTTGCAAAACACCACCAACCGTCGTCGCCCTAACATCACCCCAATCACCACCATCGCCAGAACCACCACCACAGCCACAACATCACCCCAACCAACACCACCGTCGCTAGAACCCACAAAAACTGCCACCATCACACAACCGCCAGATCACCAATCACAGCAACCACCACAAAAACCGCCACCACGCAATGCCACCACCATCAACACCAAACACCATCATCATCACCAACCATAGCCACTACCACCACAAATTTTCAGTTTTCAACCCCAAGTCTACCCATAAAATTAGGGAGCTGTGGTTGAAATTGGGCTTGACCGATGGTTGGCTTAGGTGTGCCAATGGGAGAGGAAGGTGACCTATGTGGATTGTGACCATGGGTTGAATGGACGTCGTTGGAATCACAGATTTCTTTGGATTGCGCAAAACGAGATCGAGACCCTCATTTCGATTAATTGTTGTATAAGACAACATTCAAAACACATCATGTCCTATATGAATTTAAGGTGATGCCCTTTGGACTCAAGTATACCCTAGCCACCTTCCAGTGCCTAATGAATGAGGTTTTCCAAGAAAAGTTGAGGAAATTCGTCCTGGTCTTCTTTGATGACATTCTAGTGTATAGCCAAGACCTGAAATCTCATTGCAAGCATTTAGCCACCGTGATGGAAATCTTGAAGAAGCATCAGCTATTTGCTAAGAGGTCCAAATGCTCTTTTGGGCAATCCAAAGTGGAATACTTGGGGCACATCATCACAGTGACAGAAGTATCAGCAGACCCACTAAAAGTGAGTGCTATGCAACATTGGCCAAAGCCTACCAATGTGAAACAATTAAGGGGATTTCTTGGCTTGATAGGGTATTACATGAAATTTGTGAAGGGATACGGAATTCTAGCCAAGCCACTAACTGACCTCTTAAAGAAAGGCTGCTTTAGTTGGACTGCTAATGCTGAAACAGCCTTTCAGAACTTGAAGGAGGCCATGTGTAACACTGGTGGAATGGGGGCAGTCTTGATGCAGGGCAGGAAGCCAATTGTGTATATGAGTAAAGGCATCAGTAGTGAGAAGTTGGGGATGTCAATAAATGAGAAGGAGTTGCTGGCTCTGGTTAGTGTAGTCGGGAAATGGAGACATTACTTAGAGGGGCATCACTTTATGATTAAAACTGATCATCAGTCCTTGTACTTGCTAGAACAGAGAATTACTACCCATTCCAGCAAAAATAGCTAACCAAGTTGCTTGGACTCATTTATGAGATCCAATATAAGAAAGGCACTAAAAATACCGTAGCTAATGCACTATCACGAAGGGAAGATTCTAACTTAGAAGTGGTAGCAATTTCCAATGTGGTACCCACCTGTATACAAGAAGTAATGGAGAGCTATAAAGGGGATGAAAAGATAGAACACCTGATTGAAGCAACTTTGATTAGCCCTGGGAAAAATCCTGGTTTCATTTATGACAATGGGCTACTCAAATATAAATGGAAGCCATACATTGGCGCAGGTGGAACAATCAGATCTAAACTGATACAGAACATTCACTCTTCTCAAAATAGATGTCATTCAGGAGTCCAAGCTAGTGTGTATAGGGCCAAACTACATTTTTTCTGGCCTGGTATGACTAAGGAAATCAGGAATGAGGTTCTTAGCTGTGACCCTTATCAAAGGTGAAAAGGCGAACACGTCCAGTATCTTGGCCTCTTGCAGCCGTTACCTGAACCACAATATTCTTGGAGCCACATTTGTATGGACTTCATAGAAGGACTACCTTCATCAAGGGAAAAAACTGTGATATTAGTGGTGGTAGACAGGTTCACCAAATATGGGCATTTCGTGGCATTATCCCATCCTTTCTCTGTAGTAACATTGGCTAAAGAATTCCTAGATAATAACTACAAACTTCATGGGATTCCCAGAGCATCGTCTCAAATAGAGACAAGGTTTTCACTAGTGGATTCTTGGAAGAATTATTTAGATTATTGGGTACTAAACTTCACCTAAGTTCAGCCTACCACCCACAAACAGACGGACAAACAGAAAGACTCAACCAATGCCTCGAAATGTATCTTCGATGCATGACTTTCCACAGGCCCAAGCAGTGGATCAACTGGCTATCCTTATCTGAATGGTGGTATAATACTACCTATCATTCATCAATCAAGATGAGTCCATTCGAGGCTTTGTATGGTACAAGAAAGGCATCACATGGACCTAGTATTAAAGGAACATCTGGCCTGGGCAAGAGAACGAATGAAATTCTATGCTGATCAAAACAGGACCGAAAGGTCATTCCAAGAAGGCGATTGGGTATATTTGAAATTGCAACCTTATAGGTAACAATCAGTGATGTCCAGAACCAACAAAAAACTGTCTGCCAGGTACTATGGACCTTATCAAGTCACTAGGAGAATTGGACATATGGCTTACGAACTCAACCTCCGCAACACTTCTAAGATACATCTTTTCTTCCATGTACCATTGCTGAAGAAGAAAATAGGCGAGCAAGAAGTACCAATTTTACTAATACTAGAGGATGGAGAGCAAATTAAGAACCACTTGGAACCACTAGCAGTCCTACAGCCAGGCTATAACTTAGTGGCTCATTTACTGAAAGGATACCTTGGAAAGTAAAGCCGCCTGGGAAGATGCGATAGCCATCGAAGCTTCTTATTCTTCCTTTTGACCTTGGGGACAAGTTCAATTTGAGAGGGAGGAATGTAATGAAGAGGAGCAGAAACCAAATGATAAGATTAGCTGGGGAAGAAAGAAGAACATGAGCCAACGAACTTACCTGAAAATTGAATCACAAAGGAAATGACAATGTCTGCCCTTAAAGTTGTAAAATGGGAAACACGCTTCTCTCCCCTCTGTTACAACCACCCGCTAAATGAGGAAGCCAGTGTCTTTGGCAGCAGGAAATTTCAGTGTCTTCTCTCTCTCTCACTCTCGAATTCTCAGCTCTTCTATCTTCTTCTTTCTTATCCCGTTTCTTACTTTGTAATTCAATTGAGTTTGTATCGTTCAGTTCAGTTTATTAAAGGAAATAGTTGTCAAATCGATTAAACCCTGCTGAGTTCATTTTGGTGTAATTGAATTTGTGAAGTTTTATTATTGATTTTGGTTGGGGATTTTTCAACCATTACAATATATCAACCTGTATCATATTAATAATTCAATTAGACTCAACATGGTGAAGGCCTTTCTCCCTTTATTTCTAGATGTGGGGATAAAAAGGAAAAAAAAGTACAAAAAGAGGCATTCATGCCAGGTTGCCAAAGTAATCTTATCAAAATTGAACGAGCATCAATCACTAAAAAAAATATCATTATCTTGTCCAAAGTACAAGTCAATAGAAAAACCGACTCCAATAGTGTTAAAAGAAAATGAAATGAGAAAAGATAGCCCTAGGAATCGATGATTGCACTTGAATCAACTAGACATCAGATTTGCAACCATTTTTTTTTCACAAAAAGGTTAAATATGTATGTTTGATTGAATGAGGAAAGGGGATTGAATGACGGATGGCTAATTGAACTAAAAATGATTATTACATACAACATAAGACCCAAATTACCCGGGTTTGGAGAGGGAGTAAAAGCGGCAATCAGAGACGTCAAATTAGCAATTTGGGAAAATAGGCTCTGAATGTTGCTATAGAATCAAATGTCAACAACGTTCAAAAAATGTTACAAAAACTTAAATATTTTGCATTATTTATAAAACGTTGCAAAATGTGACATTAACAACATTTATTTAAAAAATATTGTGAAAACTCAATTATGTTAATCAATAGCAACATTCACTTGCTAAAATGTTGTGATAGACCCCTTTAACAATATTTAATCAACGAATGTTGCCCTTTTTGTGTTGCAAAATGTCATTTCTGGTGTAGTGAAAGAAAGAAAAATACAAATCATGTGCTGCTATAAAGAATCTTTAAGGAAAAAGTGTGTACACTCGACGTTTTCCAATATGGATTGGTTTTGGGCTGGACTTTTTGCTGCCCATGTCCCCACGTCCAGCCCGTTCAGTAAGAAAGCAACTGGTTCCTAATCAGGGAAAATTACATAAAACCAGGGATTTACTTTCACGTTTTAAAAAAAAAAAAAAAAAAAAATCAGATTTTAAGTTTATTTTTGCAAAAATTAGGTGGTATATTAAAACCCTACTTCTTAACCTAATTTATCAATTCCTTTACACCATTCCTGTAGCCTCCCTTCTCTCTTCTCTCCTTCCCCTCACTCCCGTATCTACCTAAATCTACAGCAGCGTCGTGACGCTGCTATGGGTGTGTGGCGTCGCGATGCTGCTAGAGAAGGAAGGCGATGAGGTGGAAGGTACGAAGAGCTCAGAGAAATCAAAATTCGGTGCAGTCAGTTGACGAAGAAGAGGCTGGGATGTGGAGGTGGGTGAGCTTAGAGGCTAAAATTGAGTGAAGGGCCTTCTTCTGTTGCTGGGATGCTGCCGAAGAAATCATGTTCCCGATATTCATGGCGGAATCAAATTTAATTTTTCACTCTTGAGAGATTAAATTACAGTTTGTAGTAGCCAAAATTGTACAAGGCGGCTGAGATCTTACGTGGGATTACATTTTGAATATGTGTTGGGGGAATGGATCTGCGACTGCGTGTCGAAATGAGGGGTGGGTGGGTGTGACGGTGGGAGTGAAAGGCCCGTTTGGGGACTGTTGTTGTGGATGTAGGTCCTGGCAGGAAAAGGTACCCTGATGAATATAACTTGATGGGGTTAAAAAATTCTATGAAAGGAAGGAGAAGAACTGGGTCCTCCAAAAATCATGGTTCAGATTGGAACCCAAAATTTGTGAGGTGGTTTGGACGGTTCTGTGTGGTGGTGGTAATGGTGTTTGTGTGGTGGCCAATTTGTGTTGTTAGTGGTGATGATGTTTATGTGGTAACTGTTTTGTGGTGGCGATGGCAGTGCGGTGGAGGTGGCGATGGCAATTATTTGGTTAATTATTATGGCGAGGTCAATGGCGGTGGTGGTTCTTTTTGGTGTCTGTGACCTATCTATTGAACTGCGACTTTAAAATTGATAATTTGTAACTAAAAAAAGTATCTGTGACCAACCAATTTGAAAATATGTGACCTGTGAAATATAATTTTTTTGATTTGTGACCAATAAAATAATCAGTGACCTATAAAATTTTAGATTTGTGACCTTGAAATAATTCGTGACCTACAAAATTTTTGATCAGTGACCTATAAAATTTTAGATCTGTGGTTTCGAAATAATCCGTGATGGGAAAATAATAGCTGGAGTGGTCGTCGGCCGCTGGAGCAGAGGTGAATGTGGGGTGGGGTGGGGTGGGTTAATTATATTATATTACAGTTAAATATTTAATTTAATATAATAAATTGTGAAATATAAATAATTAATTCATGAAAAACCTGATTTTTATAATTCTAAACCTTGGAGCTTGATTTTTGACTTTGGAATAGAAAAAGCATGAGTTGTGAATTTTTCCCTCCTAATCATGTTTTTCTAGGCAACTCGCAATATAGATATTAAAGATCCAATAAAACATGGGTGGATGAGTAGGAGTTTATGGATGACAGAAGGCCACATCATTATGGCATGTTTGTTTAATCGAAAGAAGGTTATATGGATGACAGAAGGCCACATCATTATGGGATGTTTGTTTAATCGAAAGAAGGTTGAGAAGATTCTACATTTGACTAGTCTCTTAATTATGGGTTTAATTTGGAAACCCCAGGCATCTAGTAGTAGTACTTGTACTCCAATCACATACATGCCTTTCTTCTAACTTTTCTATTTCACTTTGCTTATTTGCTTGTGTCTCTCAAGAAACTTGAAAGCAAGTCGGTGACGGATTGGATGACGTTATTTGAATTTGAGTTCCAAGTATTATTTGCTTGTAAATGTACGTGTAATTTGAAATATATGAACAATACTCAACATGAAATTAAAACAAATTTCTCTATATATTGCTATTGTTTTCTCCTGATATGTGATTAAACATATTTGGACTGCTAATGTTTACTTTCTGCACCCTCAATCTCAGATTCCCTTCACAAAAGGCAAATATTAGTTTAACATAGCCATTGACTTCGCGACAAATATATGATGGCTTGTTAAAGCATGATTTTTATATAACGACATTTTACCAAGAAGAAAACATTGTCAATAGTTAACAATACGAGAAATGAAACTAGTATATTAAGTAAGGTTTATATACGTCTTCAAATGTAACAGTGACTTATCTATTTCTCTACTTGTCATTGATAAGATAAATAACCTATAATTCTTGATTTAGATTGAAAAAGAAGCATATGTGCTTATCAACCCCTTCACTATTTAAATTATTAATTTCTTAATTCCATGAACCAAATATATTAGAGATTTGCTACACGTACACGAGAGTTGACACTCCCGTGTACACGCCCCCCCCCCCTCACAAGAGTTTTTAATATGATATTTGTCATTTATATTTATAATATTTTTAAATTTTTTTTAACAATCCTATCGCGTCACCTCAATCACCTGCTGGTGACAAAAGTTTTCGAGATTGACACTAAACTTACTTTAATCTAGATTAGGATTCTTAATTACATGGATTAAAGTAGTGCCACAAATGCTTTTTTATCATCTGTCACACAAATTTTGCCGCAAATCCCTCTCCTATGTCTGCAACTACACATATAAACTACATTCTAGTAACAGACATTAATATAAAAGCCCATAATGCTTTATTCATTACAGAAGAGGATTGTGCTTTGCCGAAGGCTGTGTTCCGGAACTTGAATCACTAGAAAAACTTGCTTAATTTTAATCTTTATTTATTAGTTCCAAATCTTAAATTTCATTGGCTTCTTGTCTTTGAAAATGAAGGTGAGAAGCAGTTATAAATGTGCTATGTTATATTTTAACAATGCATATGTGGTTATTTCTTACTAGTGTAGTTTAGTTTTGTTTGGCTGCAGTTCTTCAACTGGATGCAAATTAAGTTAAATGGACGACAGTGCAATAGAAAGCTAAACACACGTAAGTGTTCATCTTCTTCCCTTTCCATTTCATTGCTTTTGAATCACGTGAGTTGATTTGTTTATAATCAAATCGTGGAGCGAATAGTAAACAGTCTTCAAGTGATATTGTACATGTTTTGTCTGTGGGAAGTTGGCAAATAGTAGGGGGGACCAGCTTATTTATAGTACAAAATAAGGACTTGTGCATTTTAAATTATACTTTTTTCTCATTCAAGTTAATTTGTACAGACAAGCAAGATTCCAAGGAAGAATTTAGTGACTGGTCTCAAGGGCTACTGGCAATTGGAACTTTTGGCAATACACATCTTACAGAAAAACAAGAGACCCAAATTGTGCCAAATCCAGAGTTAAAAGAATTTACACCAGAAGAATTTGGAAAGCTACAGAATGAATTGACAGAGCTCTTGTCTAAAAAACAAGCAAAAGAACAAATTTCTGATCTACCATTGGATAGATTCCTGAACTGTCCTTCAAGTTTGGACGTGGATCGTACAATTTCTAACAGATATAGTACTAATTCAGATGATAAAGATGAAGAAATTGAAAGAACTATTAGAATAATCCTTGGAAGATGCAAAGATGTTTGTGAAAATAAGAAGAAGATAACGATTGGGAGAAAATCAGTTTCTTTCCTTCTCAAGAAAATGTTCGTCTGCACAGGTGGTTTGGTACCAAATCCTAGTCTACGAGATACATTTCATGAATCAAGAATGGAGAAGGTAATTACGCATTTTATGAATGGTCAGTTCCTATTTTGCACAATATAAAGTGCAGTTCTAAAGTAGTATATGAACTTTGTAGGTCCAACAGCTTTTGAGAACAATTCTCACCAACAAGATATATCCACAAAATTCTTCTCGAGCATCATCCATGAAGAAATATATAGACGACAGAAATTCATTGAATGCTGAAACTGAAGATGAAATGCGTAAGAAAGGTCGTGATGGACATAAATGGGTGAAGACAGATTCTGAATGTAAGTTCATAACGTGTTTCATTTCATAAATAGAACAAAATGCATGGAATTGACTAAACTAATGGTTGGCTTTTTTGCAGATATAGTTCTAGAGATTTAGATGAGCCTTCCTCGTGTTGGGATCAACAAATATTTTGCAGTCTAAAAAAGTGCCCTTTTGGGTTGAAGGAAATAATAGAAGAGGTTTAAAACATAGTTGGAATCATGGCTAAAGACTCGAATACATCTTTCCTACTAGCAGCAGCTTCTGATAGAATTGGTTGCGTCACTCGAAATAGACTTTTTAGGGTAGGAAATTTTCCATTTTTTTTCCCATGGATGTATCCATTGTAGTAGATACAACACATGTTATATAATATTATCATTACTTAGGACAAGACATCTTATTATGTGATTGGTTTAAAGAATTCCTTGTGATAATCATTGGAAAGGTGATATACTTTCCCTTTTTCTTGTCAATCTCAAAATTAATTAAAATAGTCTAAATCATAATACACTTACAATTGGGAAAGGAACTTCTTTGATATTATAATACGTTCTAAGATTTCTAAGATAGTTAAATAAATGGATCATATTCTAAATACCATTATCTTAACGATCCATCAAATAAATTTTAATTAAAATAAAACAAAATAGAGGGTACCGAATTGCAAAGGGAAAAAATTAATAACCACAATTACTTGAGTAAAAAATCATAAAAAACCAATCACATTATAACCATGACAATCATTCTTTTAAAACTCATTTTTCTCATACTCATGATTTTCAACCCTACATTCTCACAATAATGTATTTTTTTATGTAAACCCAAAATATTTTTCTACTTTTTATTCCCATACTCTTTAAAAATTTACTATTCAAAAACTCGTTCTTCCCAAAACATGGCTGTCGGAGGCCTATATGCTCCACCCCAGATTTGGGAATAGGCGTCAAACAAATAACATAACTTAGGGTTTTTCCAGATCTGAATTGGGCGCTTAAGGGGTAAGGGACAAGAATTAGGGAAATCTGAGCTGCCAATGCAATTCTTTTCATTTAAATTAGTGGATTTTTCATTTGGATTTTTGGGAATACCGAAAAGTTGAAGTCTTTTTGTGAGCTCTTCAATATCTTGGGTAGGCCTAGAAGATATTTACCTCTCCACTTTCAGTGCTTCAATTTCTTCCGTAGAAGTGCTGTATACTAAGGTGTTACCTCATTCCGTGGTTACTCATTCTGGTTCTTGCGTTAGCCTAGAATTTCTTAGGCAAAGGGTAGTTGTCGACCAAGGGATGAGGCACGTGACGAGGTATGCATACCTTCGAATGAACCAAACAGTCTTAGTGAGGGTGACATGGAGCTGATTGAAGTTTCAGAGATTTTTACTAGTTTTACTGAGAGGGATTTGGATAAAATTCGGAGTCGATTTAATATCCTTGATGACATTGAGTTATAATGTCCTAGGCAGTTCCAAACCACGGAGCATGCTTATGATTGTATAGCCATTCATAAACACTTGATATATATGAGACTTAGAGTTTCTTTCCATCGTTTCTTTCGTGAAACTCTTTTTTCGTTTAACATTGCTCCTACCCAACTTACTCCTGATGGGTGGGCTTATATGGTTGGGTCATTCATGTTGTGGAGCTCTACAAGTTTAGAGAGGGAATTTGTTGACACACAAAAAGTATAATCCAAATTGAATAATCCTAAGGATGAAGCCCAATCGGAAAGTTCAGGATAAATGCTCAAATAAGACCTTTGATGAATACAGTGGAGGCCCACAAATAAAGTAACATCATCGCCCAAACTTGGAAGAAGCCCAAAATCTAAGTGAATGGAGTGCCTTACGGTCGCCCAGAACAATGACCCCATTCTCGCCCAAACCTTTGAATCGCCCAGGATCTTGGCAAATATAAGGTATTATAGTTATCCAGAAAATCAGATACTAAAGCAGTTATTGAGCAATTTCATCACACCCCACGATCCAAGGATCCCAGTTGTAGACGGTTGAACGATAAGAGTAATGATAACAGTTAGAGACTGCAGTTCCACGACAAATCAGCCATTATGAAGAAAGTGGGTAGTTATAGAGCGATCAAGCAAATTCCAAGCGGTTTGTCATGAAGAAATTCTCAAGGAAGTATAAAAAAGAAGAGAAGACATAGAGAAAAGGACCTCCGAATCAAATACTCTTAAACACAGAATATGTAATTTCAATTTCTTAGCTTAAATGTAAACACTTCTTTTAGTACTCGTGTGTTTGCGCCCCTTATAGGCATTCTATTTATTTCCAATTGTAAATCATTGCCAATAAAACACCCCTTTTGGGACTTTGTATCAAGAGGTCTGTTCCTTACATAATTGTCTGAATCTTTCCTAATTGTTAGCGACAATCCGCGCGAAACAGAATTTTTTCAAAGGTATTCCAATCTATTTATCATCACATGAAATCGGGGAATAAGGTCCCAAAAAGGATACTAATACCTTTATTCTCATTTTCCTAAATTGGTGTAGGAGCTCATCCCAACGCAAAAGGGAAAAATGTTCGATACTCATCTCATGCGAGCAGTTGCCTTACATCATGATCAGTAGGCTAAATATGAAGTTTGTGATTTGCTAGATGATAAATTGAACAAGAAAGTTCAAACCTCAGAGAAGAGATGTGCTACTCTTTAGAAGAAGTTGGAGGACACGAAGAAGGAAAAAGCTAAGTTAAAGGAACTTAGCAAAGGCACTGAAGTCTTTGCAGCTAGGGAGGCTACTATGTTAGCTGATGTTAAACGAGTCTCTAAGGACCTGGAGAAGGCTAAGCTGAACCATCAGGCCTATGCTCAGAGGGTTGACCGCGATGTTATAAGACTTGGGGAGGACAGTTGGTGAAAGCGGAGCATTATGTTACCACCAAGGATCTTGAAGATGAGAGGAATGAACTAGTTTTACTCGCAATCAACTAGAAAGTAGTGAGACAAAGATGACTATTGCAGAGTCTAGCCTTGTTGAAGTAAGTGCTCGTGTGACGAAACTTGTTGAGGAAGTCATGCAGGAAGGAGGTAACAAGATTCTTGATATTAATACAAGCTTTCATCCTGAATGGAATATGGACATTTTTCAGGCTCGCGAAGAAAATTTTGAGGCCACCTAATCTCGAGGTTCCTCCGTCGGCCTTTAAGGATCTAGATACTCCGTTCATTCCTGTCGAACTTTCCCAACCTACGAATTCTCATGTTGTTCTTCCCAATAAGGTTGCTGCTACTGCTCAGTCAGTTGACGCTCTTACTCTCGCTCCTCCTCCCCCAAAGTGATTACACCATTCGAGGGTAATTTTCCAGTTAGCCAAAAGGATCTAACTTCTGGAAATCTTCAGCCTGTGGTTAATTTGGAGAAATAATTTTCTTCTTGTTTCATTCTCTTGTTGTAATGATATTTTGCCAGTCTTTCAGATGGATTTATTAATCTGTCATTTTGTACTATTTTTTATTAAAGCTCGCATTTCAACTCGATTGTCATTTAATCGTATGCTTCGTATTCGCACACTTAATCATTTTTGTATGTTAACAATGCAGCTTCCCAAAATTTGAAATTTTATTTAATATTCATTGCAACAGAGATGAACAAAAGATTACTATAATGACTTATTGTCGTGACTTTTCATTAAATAAATGTTTTGCGCGTAGTTAAGATGATTTTCTGTCATGACATCAAATTTCTTTGCGAGCGAACAGAGATTCTCCCTTTATAGTTGACCTTTGCGGGGTGAAACTGAATCCTCACATTTCTTTGACAGAATAAATCTCGCCTTTGGTTTTTGGTTAAGACTTCATTGCAAGTGGAAGGAGGTTCACCTTTTGTCAAAACTTTGCTATGGGTGAAAAGAGGCTCGCCTTTAATGCTTTCCTCGCATTCACCACGAATCTTATCATCACGACCTTGTTTCGGGTCTAGTTTTGGTTTCACTATTTCAACAATTATTCTTCCCCTAATACTTGTGAAGTCATCTTTATTGGCACGTGAGTTTTTCAACTTACCATACTTCGAATAATTGCTTTTCTAAGCAAGGCTTTTAAAGCATATCTTTCTTATTTTCTACCATCAGTATGATATTAATCATCGGAGCCCTTATGGCTACTTTTCTCAATGCATTGAGATAGCGTTCTTGTGCAATTGCTTAGTTACTCTTGATGCTGGCTATTCCTTTTGGAGTTTCAAATTTCATGCACAGATAATGGATGAATATTATTGCTTTCAGCTGCTTCTAGGCGGATTTTCCTAGGATCCCATTATAAGCGTACCTGCTGTCCATGATTAGAAAGTCCATATATCCTAATATATATAGTTGGCTCTTCGCTCAACTCAATTGTCAAAGTAATATGTCCCCTTGGGACCAAACCATCGCCAGTGAAATCATACAAGCCTCTATTCATGGGAACCCAAGGGAGATCAATCTGTATATGATCGAAAGCACTTCCAAACAGAATATTCAACGAACTACCGTTATCCACCAACATACATGTAACATCGAGTGCTTATTTCTTGTGATTATCTTGTCTATCTAAATTAGTCGAACTAATGATATATTTACTAAATTTAACATGCATTTAATTCCATTAAATTTGAATTAAGTTATATGGTATTTTTATTATACTGTATGCTTACAATTTTGATTAACAAACTCGACTTGTCCATTTAATCTTCATGTTAGGTAGATTTATTCCAAGTTAATTTAATTGATACCAATCTTGGAGTAAGAATAGTAGAATGAGCCAAATAAAAAATCTCAATATTTATTTGGCAAGAATTAGGAAAAATTGGTTGAAACCTAACCTTACACGTTTTATAATACTACTGAGAACCACATGCCTTGCACGTGCCATGATGTAGTTGACTACGTAGTAGCGTAGGTATTAAAACAAATATTTATGTCAAACATTAATTACATAAAATTTTCTTATAAGTTGCTAAATGTTTCGAGGTAACATTAAATGTGGAGTTCAGTATTTAGGTATTTAACTTAAGAAGAACTGTTCGTTTCGGTTCAGTTCGCTTTGGATCCGATTCGGCTCATGTGTTTTGTCCACTCCTAACCAGAAAGTTTCGTGAAAGAATAAAATTACTTATATA